TCTGATAAGAGCCAGGTCCTAGGCCATGTAGGGCTTTAAAGGTAATAACCAGCACCTTGAAGCGTGTCCGGAGACCGATGGGGAGCCAGTGCAGCTCGCGGAGGATAGGTGTAACATGGGTGTATCTAGGTACACCCGATATCACTCGCGTGGCTGCATTCTGGACCAACTGTAGTCTCCGAACACTCTTCAGGGGCAGCCCCATGTAGAGCGCTTTAAGTTGATAACTACTTTTACTGACCTGCCTCTTATCAGAATATTGTCTAACTTGTGGGTCCTCCTGTTTCCCCAAGGTTATTCCCACATACCATTATATTTCTCTACTATGCTGTTCGCAGGATAAGAGAGGAAGGTGATTTTATAGTTTAATGTTTCAAATTGCAAACAAAAATCTTAGATGCCAGCTACCTGGATATTTTTTCCAGCCCCAGGCAATATTTTTAAGTGCACACAATGTATCCTTCCTCTCCCCCATCCTTTTAGCTTCCTACCTGATTCTAGTACTTCTGAACCAGCAAAGAGTTATGCCAGTAGCATCTGTGGTGTAAATTTATAACTGAGTGATGGTTTCTGACATTTATGTATATACAAGCTGCTACATCTTTCTCCATTCTCCCTGACAGCTCATGAAATTTCCTTGTCAGAGCCTGCTATTTCCTTGCAAGAGTGGCACAGCCTGATGGATGGGAGGACCCTCCAGGAAAGGAAGGTGATATAGAATCGTTTGAAGATTTTGAAGAAGCACTAAAACTATCTGTCAGAGATACTTTAGATTTACAAATACTGGGACTGGTCCGTGAGGCTGAAGTTTATGGCCCAGACCCTGAGTTTTAAAATAATTGCTTTGGAATTCACAAAGGTCAGAAGAAAAAGCTTGGAGCCCGACTTAGAATACACTCTTACCGATCTTTGATTTGCAAACAGCTATTATTAGCTTTCATGATAAAAGTCTAAGAAATGTCTTTTTCAATTTGCAATTTTAGCTCTCTTCACTCCCTCCTCCCCCCTCCCTCTCTCTCTTTAGGAAAAATATGGAATATCGGGAGAATTTTCCCTATGTAGTATAGTCCAGATATCGTGGGCTACAATGCCCAATGTTCTTTATCAGTTGGCTTGGGATTCTAGGAGCTGCACTCCAACGAATCTAGAAAGTGTGAAGATCAAGGAGAGAAAGCAGTACTGTATTAAGAGTGTCAATTAAAGTCTGCATTTGTCTTACTGGTTGTGAAACCAGTGTGGGGGGTAATTCTGGCTCCCCTGGCTAGCGATCACCACGATTTTGTCAGCCCTGATCTGGCAGCCTCACTCAAAATGCCAAATTGCACATAAACCTCGCGCTGAGCAGTACTAGCAGAGGTGGGTTCCTACCAGTTCGCACCTATTCGGTAGAACCGGTTCATCAAANCCCATATTTAAGGGGCCTAGGGGTTGACCTCTGTCCTCCTACCAACACCAACTGCGACCTGTCCGAGAGGTAAGAGGAGAACCACCGTAAAACGGTGCCTCCCACTCCTACCTCCCCCAGTCGTCGCAGAAGGATACCATGGTCAATGGTATCAAAGGCCGCTGAGAGGTCAAGAAGCACCAGGATAGAGGAATGTCCTCTATCCCTGGCCCGCTATGGGATAGTCTGGAGAGGAGCCTAATGACCACCAGCTGAGTGCAATTACCTCCTGTAACTACGCAACTGTTCCTGACGCCTATTAGCTCTTCGACGCCGTGCATCCAGGAACAACTCACTGCTGGTGTCGGGCTCACTCTCCCTTGCCTCCTCCCCACTGGTCCAAGGCTCAGGTGCCTCCTGGTGGCCAACCAGCCTCTCTGCACCCTGCTCAGAGTCGGAACTCTGTCCAAGGTCCTCCACATCCTCCAGAGCCGACTCATAGGGCCCCTCGCTGTCGGAGTCTGGTGGCAGCTCCAGTGGCTCCTGCTGGGCCACAACAGAAATGATTATTACATTTTCCAAAATGAGATGGGGTAACTGATCCATGTTGTACCGCCAGCCTCTGAATCCCAGTTCTACTATTTGCAAAACAAAACAAAATATTCAGAGAGGCTTTTTTAAAAAATTCCTTCTGTTGGGGAAAGTTCAAATTCCAGTGCTGACCTGGGCCTAGCTTGCAAATATAGCTGAGTGGTAAAAATTTAATTGCTCATCATGAGGTTGGGGTAGGATTCTGTTTTTGTTCCTGTTCCCTGAAGTACAAAAATATGCTTGTGTTTTACAGAGAACAATTCTTATTCCAATCAATTATTTTCAGTGTTAGTTCTCTGATTTCTAAAGTATTTTTTCATAAAATGCTGTGTTTTAAAAAGTTATCAGTTTCCTAACTGTACGTTAAAAGTTCAAAATCTCTTTTACCATAGCAGGATTCTTGATCTTCCTTCTAAAGCAGGTATATAGACCGGGTTTTGTTCTTCAGATTGTTGTTCCATTTCACCCGATGGGTTGCTTTTTGTAAAGATTTTTTTTAATCCTACCATTATTACTTTATAAGAAGGGGAACATACATAATATGCCTCCCTCCTTCCATTTTCTTCACAATAACCCTGGGAGGTGAGTTGGCCTGAGAGAGGACTGGTCCAAAGTCACCCAGTTAGCTTTTATGCCTAAAGTGGCACCAGAACTCACAGTCTCCGGGTTTTAAGCCAGTACCGTAACCATTACACCAAACTGGTTCAACATGCTGGCTTTCTAATTGATCTTAAGTGTATGTGCATAAATCAGTGTTTCTCAACCTTGGCAACTTGAAGATGTCCGGACTTCAACTCCCAGAATTCCCCAGCCAGCAGTCCAGGCAAAATAACTCCATCTAATGGTTGAGGTGTTGGGAGTAAACTGAGATCTGCTAGTTTCAGTTCAATTTACCTCATTGATGGGATAAAAGTAGGTTATACCTTCATAGACACTCACAAAAATGTTCTGGTAACAAATGCCACAAACAAATAAACAAAATTCTTTGGGGCTAAGATTAGCCCTTAATATGATGTTTCTTTCTTCACTATTTGTAAAGTATTTGGAATAAGCTGTGTCATGGTAAAAATCGCTTAAAAGCCAACAAACTGGAGAAGACTCACACATTAGTGATATTATTACTAGGTTAGGGGTTATAGTGAGTCACTTCTATTGTGCCCAGAAGTGATAAGAACAAGAGCCATAAGGTTACATTAATCTCATTTAGTAAGATGACTAAAAATAATTTGAGCATGTACGCATACTAGTAGATGATAACCACCCGCATATAATCCTTAGCTGTGAATACATTATAGGCACATTTCTAAAAATGCAGTATAATAGCCTTGATATGTTCAATCAAGGCTTTAATAACAAGCCAATCTGCATTTTACGGCAGGAAGGAATAAGTATCTTTGGTAGCCCATGTCTCTCGAGTCCTGTGTCCCCACAGGCACATGTTTTGTGACCAGGTAGTCTTTGACAGACACAGATTATCAAGGATGTTACTTGAGTTGAACAGTGCGAGACACATATGAAGTTAAAGGAACACGCAGTAATACTAATCTTATATAAGTAAACATACAAATTGATTCAATGCGAAGTATTCCAATCCACCTCAGTGGCAATCCTCACTCCTTTTTTCCTTTTCACTTTGTCTAGGGCTATCCGTTACCTGAGCAAATTGCGGCGAGAGCGTGTTGCATTGATTGGGGATGTCCTCAACCAGGAGGGATTTGACCTGGCACTCTTACAGGAGGTGAAGATTTCACATGCTAGAATGGAGCTGGTTGGAATAAAAAATGTGGTTTCAATCCTACTTCAACTGATGACATTACATTTTCATACATGATGTTAAAGGCAGGGTTTCTTTTGTTGAAGAAACCATCATGGCCTGTCTCATACAATATCTAGTCACGAGGTCAAACTCAACAAATTATATCATGGCTTAGTGTAATGGGTAAATGCAGTCACTGGAAAGATGTGCCAATTTTTATGATACAGATCAGCAGAGGCGTCCTTGCTGTGCTCTGGAGAAATCTTAAAGGATTATACACAGTTCCAGAAAAACATAACAAATGAAAGGGAGTTATTTTGGGACTGGCAATTAATTGAATATAAGCTTAGGGACCTTGGTCCCCAGATCAGCATGCCATTTTGTTACTTTTTTCACAGTCACTGTGATGATAGCATTTTGTTTTTCAGGTGTGGAGTGAAAAAGATTACCTCATGCTGCAAAAGAAACTGTGTATCCACTACCCTTCTTCCCACTACTTCAAAAGGTAAAAATGGAGTTCAGGAAATAAGTTTTCTTTTGTTTAACTTCACAATGGCATAGATATCCAGTTAATACAATTTAATAAGGCAGAAAAAATCTTCCTCGTTCAGAATCAGGAGACCTGATGGTGCAAATTCTGCCCACTGCTAGGAGTTCAATCCTGACTGGCTCAAGGTTGACTGAGCCAGATTGTTGGGGGCAATATGCTGACTTTGTAAACTTCTTAGAAAGAGCTGTAAAGCACTATGAAGCGGTCCCCTCCCCTCTCTATATATATATGTTCGTGTGTGTGTGTGTATCTGTTGCATTTGTGCTGATAAAAAAATAAATAAAGGGAGACTAGTATAGATCTATTTCAAGCTATTTAGCTCTCATCAGCTAGCCATACCACACGACACAACTGCTTAATATGTAATACAGCACAGGTTCAAATCCCAGTAAGGGTATGGCTAGCTGATAAGAGCTAAATAGCTTGAAGTAGATCTATACTAGTCTCCCTTTATTTATTTATTTATTTATTTATTTATTTATTTATTTATTTATTTATTTATTTATTTATTTATTTATTTATTTATTTATTTATTTATTTATTTATNCAAAATACATACCCCCTACCCCTAATGAAGGACCTGCTGAACCACTTGTCAAAAGGCAAGATTTTTACTAAGCTAGATCTAAGGAAAGCCTATTACCAAGTCTGCATAAAGGAGGGTGACAAATGGAAAATGGCTTTTAACTGTCCCCTGTGCAGTTTCCAATTCCAAGTCATGCCTATTGGACTCCCCCCCCCCCGCAGTATTTATGCAACTGATCAATGAGGTACTACATGAACACCTGTATAAGGGAGTCCTGGTTTACCTTGATGACATTCTCATATTCAGCGAAACGTTATAAGAGCATGTTAAACTGGTCAGACAAGTGCTGAAAAAACTCTTAGCTGCCAAATTCTACGTGAAGCTGTCAAAATGTGAATTCCATAAGGAATCTTTAGACTACCTGGGCTACCGAGTGTCCAACCAAGGGATCAAAATGGATCCTAGAAAGGTGAGGGCTGTGCTACATTGGCAACCCCCATGAATCCGTAAGCAACGTCAAAGCTTCCTGGGTTTTGCAAATTTTTATAGACAATTTATCCCTTCCTTCACAGAGGTTGCGCTCCCTTTAACTGAGTTACTAAAAACCTGCCCGTCTCTGACCAAGCCAAAACCTAGCCAACCTCTCGCTTGGACAATGGACTGTCAAAAAATCCTTTGAACATTTAAAGTGCCTGTTTAGAGCCGATCCTCTAGCATCCTGATTGAAATAAACCCTTTAAAGTCCAAGCCGATGCTAGTGATGTGGCTGTAGTGGCTGTTCTACTCCAAAAGGACTCTCAAAATGAATTAATGCCTTGTGCTTATGTGTCAAAATTTAACAGACACTGAACGCAGATGGGTGGTCTGGGAGAAAGAGGCTTTTGTGGTATGATGGGCTCTCTTAACCTGGAGACATTTTCTAGAGGGGGCTAAGGAGCCTTTTGAAGTGTGGACTGATCATAAAAACCTTGAGGCTCTGAAGACCACTCGGAAAATTTCCCCCAAAGAAGTTTTTTGGGCTCAGTATTTTAAACACTTTAAGTTCAAGCTAAAGTACATTCCAGGGGGGAAAAACCTATTGGCTGACACTTTGTCCAGAAAACCCCAATTTGACATCCGACGAGAAGAGATAGTACATGCCATGATCTCCAAAGCCCAACCAGCAGCCCAAGCAATCACCAGGGCACAAACTAAACACCGTTCCAACCTCCCCGAAGACAAGTTGACAGCAGAATTAAAAGCTGTGCTGTCAAACGATACATGGTTTAAAGAAAGCCAAATGGACTTAACTTTGAGGGAGGGACTGGCTTGGAAGGGAAGTAAGATTTATGTGCCCATCTGCATGATGCCAATGATGCTAAAATGGAGTCATGATTCTCGACTAGAGGGACACTTTGGATTTTTAAAAAACCTTCATTTGGTTAGGAGACAATTCTGGTGGCCAAGGATGAAATCCGACATAGAGGACCATGTTAAAAGTTGCACTATTTGTGTCACAATGAAAACCAGACCAGGGTATCCCCCTGGGTTTCTCCAACAAGTGGCCTAACCCACAAAACCCTGGGAAGAGATTGCAATGGACTTTACTGGACCCAGACTGTGGGGGCAATATGCTGACTCTGTAAACCGCTTAGAGAGGGCTGAAAGCCCTATGAAGTGGTATATAAGTCTAACTGCTGTTGCTATTGCTACTGTTGAACTCCCAGAAAGTGGAGGAAATATGGTAATTTGGACTGTCATTGATTTATTCTCCAAGCAAGCCCACTTCACAGCCTGCAATGGAATGCCTTCTGCCAAAAAGCTGGCAAAACTTTTCATGAAGCACATTTACTGGCTTCAGGGTGTTCCACAGTGAGTAATATCAGATTGTGGAGTCCAATTTACAGCTACGATCTGGAGGGAGATCCTGAGGTCCATTGGATCGTCCCAGGGGCTTATCTCGGCTTTTCATCCTGCGACTAACTGATCGGCGGAATGATCCAATGCAAACTGTATTTGTCAACTAAATACCTGAGATTGAGGTTATGGAGCAAGAAATTTGGACCTAAATTCCTCGGTCCTTTTCCTATAGTGAAAATGATTAACCCTGTGACTGTCCAACTTAGCCTCCCTCGGAGACTAGTGAAAATACATCTGGTGTTTCACAGTAGCTTATTGAAACCAGCAGTAGGATCTACTTTAAGACTCATACCAGCTGCTCCTCCCCAACCTATGATAGTGCAGGGTGAAACTTCTCAATCCCTGTTGATGGGATTGTGCATTTAAGTAGCGGTTGGTGTGTGTTTTTTTCCAGTAGATTGTGTTTCTTAGGGAGCCATTCAGTTTTTTGTAGATTAGGACGTCCAGAAAGGGAAGTTGGTTGTTTGCTTCTATTTCCATAGTGAATTGTATTTTGGGGTGTAGGCTTCCCTTCCCTTTTTGGACTTCCCTTTCTGGACGTTCTAATCTACAAAAAACCCAATGGCTCCCTAGGACACACCATTTACCAGAAAAAACCACACACCAACCACTACTTAAATGCACAATCCCATCACCACCCTGCACAGTTCAACTCTCTACCCAAGACCCTC